TTAAACCCGAACCGAACCCGACTAAACCCGAACCGAATCCGACCCGAATTTTTATAATATCCGAATGGGGCTGAAATTCATGAACCCGAAAACCCGAAACCCGAAAACCCGAAACCCGAATGAACCCGAACCGAAACCCGATTGGGACCCCGATTGCCCAGCCCTACATCAGATTATCTGATTTATCAGTTTGACCGTTGATCTAGATCGTCACTTCGACCGCTGATCTGAATCTGAATCAGAATCAGTTTCAAAACACTGGTTAAAACCAATATAGCTTTCCCTTAATATTAAACTTAGGATATTGCACAACAAATATAGCTTTCCCTTAATATTAAACTTAGAATATTGCACAACAGTATAGTGTGTACATGTGGATTCTTCATGTTTGTTTGAAATTAAATTCGAAAATACAAGTTACATCGCTATACCATACTTGTAATTTTAATAAAGTAAAAATATCTGCCGAAAAAAGAAAATATTAATACATAATTTCAAAACAAACTAATCAAAGAAAACTGAGAAAAGACAAGTGTTCTGTGTTACATCAATAGATAAAATAAAAAATAAAACGCCGATAATTTAACCCTCTTCTCAGACACATTCTCCTTAGGAGGTAATTGCAACTTCCAAGATGCTATTTTTACATGAATTCATCATCGTCCATAGCGCCATAGGGACCCGAAACAAGATCATCGTCAGGCTTATCCACATGCAGTTGCTTCTTCTTACCTAAGAAACATAGTTACACCAAAACAAAAAACACAATGAATCTGATCAATCCAGATACAGTGAGAACAGCTTACTGACAAGTCTAGTAAGTCAAAAAGTTTAAAAAAAAAACATCCAGTGAATGTGAGTACCTGTCTTCTTTTTGCCAGCAGCAGCTTCTTTCTCTGCCTTGAGTTTTTCGTTTGCTATTGCAGTAATGGAGGAAGCAACATCTTTAACATCAGCTGCTTTCATACTGGCCACAGAAAGTCTCATCACTGCTTTGAGTAGCCCAATATAGTGAAAGCTTTTCTGCATAACAACAAACGAAATGGTTAGTTAATCAGATAGAAAGAAGTGAGACTTAGCCTAGACAAGAAAGCAGTAAGGAAAGGAATATAGAGTCTATACCTCATAAGGTACAAGTTTACGAGAAATCATTTCAGCATATTCCAAGAAATCGCTTTCAGATTTGGGAATAAAAATATCGATACTTTTTTCTTCAGTTTTTGCTCCAAAGAGTTCAGCAGTTGCCTGGTAATCAGCTTCCTCCACTAGCCTAAGGATCACAAGAATAATAAGAAATAAGCAGAACCATTAGAAACTGAAGAAGCTGATGCAGAACCAAATATAGGAGTGAAATGTTTCCAAATATTATACCTCTGCATGCGAAGTTTCTCAGCAATAGGATCTAAAGGTTCTTCCTTTGAAGCTTCAACAGTTTTAGCCTTCTTCTCCACACCCTTTGCTGCTGCTGCTGCTTTCTTTGGAGCCTTGTCAGTAGCAGGCTTTACTACAGGTGCCTAAATAAAAAAAGTTTGTTTAGCTGTAATCTCAACAAAAATTATGTATACAAACCATTAACTGAAAAGGAAAAAAACTATATACAGGAGCAGGTTCATCATCCTCCTCCCAGGAGTCCTTGATATCATTCTCATCCACATCCTCGTCATCCCAGTTACTTTTGAGTACAACTTTTGCAGGAAGTGGTTGAAAATCCTCAGTCTCTGAAACCAGAAACAAATATATATATAGTTCCATATGAGAACTCCTAAATATTAAACAATCAACAATCTTAGGGGAGAACGTAACTTAAATATACAGCCAGTACTAATCCTTCACAAAACCGAAGTAATAAAAACAAACGGTTAATGAATTAACCTTACCCCAATCATCCATGTTTGTTGACAATTATATAAAACTAAAGTATCTTCTGTTCTGAACCCAATTAAAAACCTGCACAGACAGTCACAAGAGAGAGTAAGTTAACCAAATTAATGATTAGATTATACAAAGTTTCTTTTAGGATGAATCAACAAAACCAATTTAACAATGAAACAGCTACTAATTAAGCTATAGAAATCCTGTAAGAACATTGGCATGCCCAGCACGGACACAAATCGAGATAATACGTTTGAGATTAATCCAAGCGAGAAATTACCTGAATCTCTAGACTAGAGGGAAGAGAAGAAGATTGACAGTTGGATTCGTCGGTGAAATGTTAAGGAAAGAAGACAGAAACGACAGCGACGATTCGTCTGTGGATATGTTAGGGTTTTCTCTCTCTCTCTCTCTCTCTCTCTCTCTCTCTCTCTCTCTCTCTCTCTCTCGACTTTCCAGAACATGCTCATTAAAATTTTTTAAAATGTAATTTTAAGAAAAGCGTTTACCAAAAGTCCAATAACAGAATTTAACCCAAAAAAAAGAGTCCAATAACAGAAATATCCATTTATTCCATGATTCTAATAATTAAATGGGTTTAGGAGTAATTCCAAAAAGTCCAATAACAAAAATATTGTTGTGAATCAAAGAGTTAAAGGGGAAATTCAATTGTATATATTGCTAACTAGGTGTTTTGTCCGCACTTGCGGGTATAATTCTCTTATAAATATCTATTAGTTGATGTTTCATTAATTTAATGTTCAGCATAATAAATTATTATTTATGTTTTCAAAAAGTAAAAATCAAACATCAAATAATTATTAATGACAAAACTCAAACTTCAGAAATATTTAAAAGAATATATTTCCATAATTCTTTTGCTTGATTTATATTTAATTATCATATTTATACAAATTTTTTACTTAATTTGAATTTAATTTAATTTTTATATCTTAGTTTTAATTTTATAATAGAAAACATATTTTAAAAATAAAAATATAATGCATAAGTTATTCATTTTCTAAAAATATAATATGATAATTTTTTTAATTATATAAGATTATAAAAATTATGACATATAATTAAAATGACCTAAAATCATGGAGAACTTAATGAATCAGCAATTTCGCTTCTTAATTATATAATATAAAAATATAACTTATTTTTAAATTATATAATATAAAAGTATATTTTCAAGATAACAACATAATACATAATAATAACCCTTGTTCTAAAACGCGGCGGCTTGACCCGAGAACGCGGCGGATAAACGTTAGCCGGTTGGGTACCGAGGCGATTTCAGTCTAATCGGTATAAAAATCGGGTATCATGTAAAAGCTCAATTTTTTGTTTGTTTTAGTCTATAAATCGAAGTTTTGCATTAGATCTATATTGTAGAGACTAAAACAATAAGAAAAAACAAGGAAATAAAGAGAAATCGAGAAAAAAAATCAGCAGCCGTCGTGATAAAAATTGCAGAGAAAACCCTAAGAGATAGAAGATGACTGGTTAATTACGTATCTGCCCCTCATTAAAGGAAAACTCGAAAATTTTTAAAAATATGTATAATTACGTATCTGCCCCTCATTAAAGGAAAACTCGAAAATTTTTAAAAATATGTACTCCATGTTACTTGAACCAGAGCGGGAGGCGTGGGAAATAAATGTCTCAACCACTGCACTAACACGATTTTATTGTAAATACTGGCAATAACTATAATATATACATTATAATATGAAAAACACCCTAAAATAAATCCCCGATTAATCCCCGCATATTTTCCGATTAATTGATTCGGCGCTAGGCGCTACCCGACCGCACGCGTAGCGCCTAGCGAGTTCCCGAACAAGGAGAATAACTACAACTTTTTATATCTTAATTTTAAATTTATAATATAAAAATATATTTTCAAGACAACAACTTAATACATAAGTAATATCTTATTTTCTAAGAATCTGATACTATTAATAAATTTGTTTTAAATATATAATAAATTATGTATAAAATTATATAAATTATGATAAATTATCAAAATTACTTAAAATCATGGAAAATATGACAAATCAGCAAACATCAAATTCACTTCTTAAATAATAGTATAGATATTTTTTACATGTTAATTCTAAATTTTATAATAGAAAAGTATTATTTCAAGATAATAATACATAAGAATTAACTTATTTTCTAAAATAGAAATTTAATTGTTAATAATATAATTTTTATATCTTAATGTTAAGTTTTATAACAGAAAAATATATTTTCAACGTAACAACATAATACATAAGAATTATCTTTTTAAGTATTATATTTAAAAATATATTTCTAGATAATAAGATATTTTTTAAAATATATTTATAGATAAAAACATAATTCGCAAGAATTATCTTGTTTTCTAAAAAGATGATATATTCATATAAATTCGTTTATTTATAAATCAATTATATATAAATATTAAAAATATAATAAATAAATAAAAAATTACCTAAAATTATGGAGAACATGACAACTAAAATTTTTAACTTATTTTTAAATTATATAATATAAAAGTATATTTTCAAGATAACAACATAATACATAAGAATAATTACAAATTTTTATATCTTAATTTTAAATTTATAATACAAAAATATATTTTGAACACAACAATTTAATACATAAGAAATATCTTATTTTCTAAGAATCTGATACTATTAATAATTTTTTTAAATATATAATAAATTATATATAAAATTATATAAATTATGATAAATTATCAAAATTACTTAAAATCATGGAAAATATGACAAATCATCAAACATCAAATTCACTTCTTAAATAATAGTATATATATTGTGTACATGTTAATTTTAAATTTTATAATAGAAAAATATATTTTCAAGATAATAATACATAAGAAATAACTTATTTTTTAAAATATAAATTTAGTTATTAATAATATAATGTTATATCTTAATTTTAAGTTTTATAATTGAAAAATATATTTTCAACATAACAACATAATAAATAAGAATTATCTTTTTAAGTTTTATATATAAAAATATATTTCTAAATAATAAGATAATTTTTAAATATATTTCTAGATAACAACATAATTCACAAGAATTATCTTCTTTTCTAAAGAGACGATATATTCATATAAACTCGTTTTGTTTATAAATTAATTATATATAAATATAAAAATAGAATAAATAAAAAAATTACCTAAACTTATGGAGAACATGACAACTAAGCAAATTAATATAAGGTACCTTTATATAGGGAGTTACAAGTTCCTAAAAAAAAAAAAAATCTAAACCAACTAGGAAAAAAAATAGTACAAAACCTTATACAACATGGAATATGAAAAACACTATATCTTAATCCAATAAGGATAAGGAAAATACTTGGCTGATCTAGAGCTTTAATGGGCTGGTCTGGTACGGTTTTAGTTCCGGTTATGGCAATTCACAATATGATTTATAACACTGCTTCTTGGATGCCATAACCATGTAATACGTTTTGGATGTTGCCTCATTAAAATTTTTTCAGGAAAAAAACAAAACCCAAAGGGATAAAACCGTGTAAAACCATGGATAATGAAAAAGAGTACAACACGTATTACTCCCCCTATTTTGTACCTCACTGGAGATCTTTAATCTGACGCATTCCTATATGATGCATGAGCTTCTTGAATGTTGAGGTTGGAAATGACTTGGTGAATAGGTCTGCTGAATTGTCACTTGAACGGACTTGTAGCACTTGGACCTCGCCGGCTTTCTGAATCGTGGGTGGAGAAGAACTTGGGAAGAATGTGCTTCGTTCGGTCTCCTTTGATGTAACCGTCCTTGAGTTGAGCAATACAAGCTGCATTGTCCTCATACATGATGGTTGGTTCTTCTTTGCCTTCGGTCATCCCACAATCTCTTCTAATATGTTGGGTCATGGACCACAACCAGACTAACTCACGGCTGGAGTCATGGATGGCCAAGATCTCGGCATGATTAGATGATGTGGCCACCATTGTTTGTTTCATGGACCGTCAAGCTATAACAGTACCACCATGGGTAAAAACATAGCCTATCTGAGATCAAGCATTGTGTGGATCCGAGTTATAACCTGCATCAACAAAACCAAAACCTTCTTTGGTTTGGTAACGAAGAATATGTTTAATCCCGTTCCAGTGCCTTTTGGTCGGACATGAACTAAACTTAGACAATAGGTTCACAGCAAAACATATCTCCGGCCTAGTATGGCTTGCCAAATACATTAGGGCTCCTATGGCACTGAGGTACGACACTTCGGGCCCGAGGACTTCTTCATCGTCTTTCTTGGGACCAGACGGGTCCGTGTCTAGACCAAGTGATCTCACGACCATGGGGCTTGACAATGGGTGAGCTTGGTCCATATTAAACCGTTTTAATACCTTTTCTGTATATGTCTCTTGATGCACAAGGATTCCACCCTTAAGATGTTCAATCCCAAACAAAATTTTGTTGTGTCTAAATCTTTCATCTCAAACTATTTCTTAAGGTATTCAACCGTTTGGGAAATTTCTCGAGAGGTTCCAAGAATATTCAGTTCATCAACATACACTGATATTATGACAAATCATTTTTCAAAATTTTTGATGAATATGCATGGGCTTATTGGATCATTCTTATAGCCCTCTTTCACTAGGTACTCGCTTAGTCTATTGTACCACATTCGACCTGATTGTTTCAATCCATAAGGGAGTTGTTCAACTTTATACAATGTTGTTCTCGAGAACTTGCTTTGTATTTCAGCTCAATACCTATGGTACTTTCATGTATATCTCATTATCTAGTGGACTATATAAGTATGCAGTTACTACATCCATTAACCGCAAGTCTAAGTTCTCTCTTATGGCCAGACTTATTAGGAATCCAAAAGTTGTAGCATCCACCACAGGGAAGTATGTCTCCTCATAATCTATTATTGGTCTTTGTGAGAATCTTTGTGCAACCAGTCGTGCCTTATATCTCACGACTTCACCATGTTCATTTATTTTCCTCACAAAGACCCATTTATATCCCACTGGTTTAACATCATAAGGTGTCGAAATTATTGGACCAAAAACATTCCTCTTCTTTAGGGAATTAACTCCATGTTTATAGCTTTTTTCCATTTGATCCAATCTGATCGTTGAGTGGACTCATAGATGGACGTGGGTTCATGATCCTCGTTCATGTCCATAAGTTCAAGTGCTACCTTGTATGCAAATATATCATCAATCTCGACATTCTTTCTGTCCCATAGTGTTCCATACATGACATAATTGATTGAGATCTCATTATTATCAGGACCATAAGTACCTTGAATTTTGGCGTCCCAAACCTCATTGTTTGGCACATTAGGTTCAGCCGGCCCATTAGGTTCGGCCGGCTCAGCCAGCCCCGTCCCTGTCTAGGGTTCCCTTGACCACGGGTTCATCAGCACCTTTCTTTAG